TCACTTAGACTTAGAAATTTAAGATTCGTAGAAGATAATCAGAAGTCATAATCTGCAGACAAGGTCCTTTTCTTCTCATACCTCATTGGATTCAGACAAAAAGTTGTCATAATTCAAATTGATTAGTCTTACAATTGAGGATTTCCGATGCATAGGTTCAAAAGCTCAACAAACACAAAAAGTTCAACAAACACAAAGATTGGACACACTATTAATCACTGATTCAACCAGCAAGTTTTGCTTTCTTCTTGGCCGTTTTTTACCGTCCCATATTGTCTACAGCTTGCTACGCACTTCAACGAAAACAGTTCCTCTGGAATAATTCCAACCAAAGGCAGTCGTGCACATCGGCGTTCACAAACCCGATAACGAAATCTGAAGTTTTCGGCTGATTGTTCAAATTATGCTGTTTGTTCGGATGTAAATCTTTAGGTTAACTGTTCGAATAAACTTCCTCAATCCAGCTGTTTTAATATTTCCTTAATCTCCAGTCTTGTTTACGAACTCCTCATATGCATGTTCAGGTACACATCGGCACTTTTCATTTCAGTTGTTGGCTCATTCTTAAATATTTCACCGGTCTTCAGCCTTCTGTCCGGAGGTATGTCAAAATTGTTGCCATCTCTACAAAGAGGAGGACAGATCGTCAAGGCTACTCGGAACAACAGAATAAGAACGCCGATAAAAAATACAATGATTTTCAAAAGAGCGCCTTTTGACTCTACGATAGAGTGAGAATGAGAGTCATGAGACTCATTTAGTGAAATTGGCATAATCTCAATCAGCTAGATATTGGAATCGAGGAGAAAGTATTCACTATTCGCACTGGAGGGGAATATGAGACAATAACTGAGCTGCAAGGAGTTGAGTTCTACAGGTACTTCAAAATAAGTATGTGACTACATTTACATTACATATAACTGCAAACAATACTAACTAAGTTAAGAGAAACAGCTCAATGTGAATTATTTATTAGGGTTCAGAGGTGGGTAAACCTTAATAATTATAATTATAATAATATGTACCTTAGATAATATGTAGACGACCTCATAGGATGGCATAATGAAACATTTGACACGGAGTTGTAGAGTGAGCTTTGTGCCTCGCCGGGCTAAAGTAGTGGATGTCCTTGCTGTACGGCAAGTTAAACAAGGAACTGAAACTACTAGGTTCCGTACAGACTCAACTCTGCACCCATGTTAATATGTTCATTATATGCAAGCCTCTTGATTTATAATATGTAGGCAAACCCGAACCAAACCGAACCATAAGTTTCCTCTGTGGAACCGAACCGAAGTTCTAATTATAGGCTTACTAGAAACTCGCTGATCGAAATGCAGCTATAATCGCGGAAATGAAATCAGTAATGTTCTGATTTCTCTTCATCAGTCATCTTCTAGCTACGTACTGTAAAGAGTATAGATTTTTATTTTACGATGACGATAAAGTTTTAAGTATTTCCTAATCGATACTTTTTACCGCATCAAAAAATATCAATCTCAACCAAAGATATGAATAGTCATAAGTCATAGCATAAGCGTAAATGTGAGCCAGTCATGACGTATCATAAAGCATATTATTGACTGTAGAATTATATTCACCATCGTATCGAAGTGAAAAATTGGCGGAAATATTTGCCATTTTTGTAATGACATATCACACAGGGCCAAGGATTAGACACCAAGGATTTAACAATTCAAAAGAGGATAAGTGCCTCTTTATAAGTTCGATAAAATAAACTGTTAGAGATCCGTGAATGTTAGACATAGCATTACATTAGATTATTCATTAAGTTTCCTAAATCTTTATTTTTAAAAATGTTTAATTCTTAACTAATTTAGAAACATTTACACCCTCATTGAAGAGTGAGGGTACACATTGAATAATGTTTATACGAATGGAACGAATTAAATTATTTTAGTTTCTTTTATTGGTTGGTTGGTTATAGAATCCGTCTTCAATCTCGTACCGGAAAATTATCCAACTCAATTCTGAGTGTAAATACGGGTTGTAACTTGTGTCATCGTCAATCGTCATTGCCATTCAATGAGCTTTGTGTAATAATCGACCAATGACTTGATATTAGGCTGGTAATCAGTAATTACTAGTCAATTATTACGATGTAGTATGAGGAAGAAAGAAAAACAAAGTTTTGTAGTTTTATTAAATGTAATGTAATTGTGAAGAAGACAGTTTTATAATTTTTGATAAATCCATTCCAATCAATGTTAAGAGTATCAGTCGCCATCTGAAGTTATTCAGTTCAGCAAAGAACAATGTTTAAAACCTTACCTGATAAAAAATAATAAATGACTTCAATTAGACTTAGAAATTTAAAATTCATAGAAGATAACCAGAAGTCATAATCTGCAGACAAGGTACCTTTCTTTTCATACCTCATTGGATTCAGACAAAAAGTTATCATAATTTGAATTAATTACAGTTTTACAATTGAGGATTTCCGATATATAGTTGTAAACTAATTACAACACTACAAATCTATTACATTTATTGAGTATTATATAAAGCGATGGAAATATTTTAAGCGGGTAATATCCTGTCAAAACCCAGGATACATAACATGAAGACTTTGTTGTAACTTTGTATGGAAAGCATTAATAGGTTCAAAAAGCTCAACCAACACAGAAAGCTCAACAAACACAAAGATTGGACACACTTTTAATCACTGATTCAACCAGCAAGTTTTGTTTTCTTCTTGGCCGTTTTTTACCGACCCATACTGTCTACAGCTTGCTACGCACTTCAACGAAAACAGTTCCTCTGGAATAATTCCAACCAAAGGCAGTCGTGCACATCGGCGTTCACAAACCCGATAACGAAATCTGAAGTTTTCGGCTGATTGTTCAAATTATGCTGTTTGTTCGGATGTAAATCTTTAGGTTAACTGTTCGAATAAACTTCCTCAATCCAGCTGTTTTAATATTTCCTTAATCTCCAGTCTTGTTTACGAACTCCTCATATGCATGTTCAGGTACACATCGGCACTTTTCATTTCAGTTGTTGGCTCATTCTTAAATATTTCACCGGTCTTCAGCCTTCTGTCCGGAGGTATGTCAAAATTGTTGCCATCTCTACAAAGAGGAGGACAGATCGTCAAGGCTACTCGGAACAACAGAATAAGAACGCCAATAAAAAATACGATGATTTCCAAGAGAGCGCCTTTTGACTCTACGATAGAGTGAGAATGAGAGTCATGAGACTCATTTAGTGAAATTGGCATAATCTCAATCAGCTAGATATTGGAATCGAGGAGAAGGTATTCACTAATTGCGCTGGAGGGGAATCTGAGACAATAACTGAGCTGCAATGAGTTGAGTTCTACAATATGGCGATGTTGCAACTCACGACGGGGCTAATGTAGCAGTATTAACTATTTATAGGTTATTTGTTCTCCAAGCGGTGTGATAAAAAATGAAGAAAACAAGAGAACCGCTTTAGCCTTTATGGTTACAGATCAAGGATTGACCGCTCATGACAATAGCTGAGACTTATCGTTCGTACTGCTCACTGTGTAGTGGTACATTTAGAATCGTTGTTGATGCTTCTCGTTTATTTTGCGGAGCCTCCGGAAAAGTTTTGAGAAAATTTGAAGCATTTTGCCAGATTATCTGGCATCTTGAGCACAAAATAGCCTTAGAAACATGTTATGTTGAATACTAAGAGAAATAGTATGTTAGATTTTGGGTTATATTCTCAGGGCAAGCAAGGCTATCATCAGGGGATCCTTCGCCTGTCCTGGTGGAAACCAGGACTGGTATTTATCGGAATGAAGAAAAAATATCATTTAATCAAACAATTTACAAATTTAGGGGTTGTACCTGGGGTGAATCGTGACGGAAGAGATAATTTAATGAAATTGGATCAAAATTGAATCAAGTAAGCAAGCTTTCTGTGCTAATTTGAATTCCAAAGGTCCAAAGTCAATTTACACAGAGGACGTTTATTTGTTAAGTTGCAACCCAAGCCACGTTGACAATTTTTGATCGGTTGAGTTAAACTATGATATGACAATCTGTGTTTACCAACTAATGTATAGTTTATCTTTATTTATGGTTTTCAGCTTTTGGTAGTCTCGACCAACATTTCTTTTGATAGAGCAATAACTGATTGAATATTAGCATAATCATTAATTATTAAATATTAATGTAATTATTAATGTAATTTCACGCTCAGCAAGATGGCTTTACACGTACGAAACAAGAGCTAAATTATAACCAAGATTTCCGGATCCTTCATTGATATCCTGATTGTTGCAGATGAACTTGGGGCACTTTAAGAGCGCTCGTTTAATAGCACAGACAGACATTTTGGCAGATGAACTATTAAGAAAGCTAACTGCAACAACAACAATATCGAGGATGACGCTGAGGACGACGATTAGTGATGATGAAAAAGTTGTGGCAGATGAACTACTGGGTGTTTCAAGACTCGTTACCAAATTTCAAGTGCCGCTCAAAATTTAAGAAACAAGGCAAACTGTTTAAATTTTTTGCATCTTGCTTATAACATTTAAAGATAAGTATACAATTATGACGATGTGTTAAATGAATCAAATATTATTACTAAAATCGTATGTGTTACTACAATTTGTAAGTTTTTATTTATTTAATTATAATTTATTAAGTTCATACACTGTATTACTTGGTTTATTGTACCACACAAACTAAGTGTCTGGATAAGGTTGTGAAATGATGGTCACACAAAGATGATTGCTCTTAAGTCTTAACAAACCCCACAATTGTAATTATGACAAATGTTTTATCGGGTGACAGATTACTGTTTTACTTTCCATTCAACGCTCAATCATATGTTATGAATGATTTTGCATCATAAAAGTTTAAAGATTGATTTTGAGATAGTGGACGTTAAGTTCTATAACAAATACAGATCAGTGTTTTATGGTAGAAACTAGAAAATCTGATACAAATTCAAATTGTGCTTGAGTGGCAGTTTTGTGAATGAGTTTGAGAGAGACTCACCGATTGTAAATCCAGTGACACCTCTACAGCAAATGAAGAGCCAGAAGGACGGAACGAAGGCAGATAACAGAGCACTGATCACTAGCACCACCATTCCTATTAGCAGTACTTTCTTACGACCATACACGTCTGATAACTTACCTGCCACTATACTGCCTGCAGGGGGTGAAAGGTGTTGGAACTGAAGTAGGTTTTAGAATTGAGAAAAAAATCGAAAACATTAAAAACAGTACTGTGTGAATAACCTGATAACAAGATTTACGAAAAGATTTATGTAGCATCTAATGTAATTATTAATACTAATAAAATCTCTAAGACTTACCGATAGCGTAAAAGAAGAAAACTATGGCCGGTATGATAGCTTCTTGTATCGGAGTCAGATCAAAGTCACACTTCATGTCCTTTAATATCACGCTCGCTGAAAGGAGTCACCCGTTAGTTATTTGCCCTATTACAAGTAAGATGTGATAATATCATTATCAGCCAGCCGACGTATACTGTTCCTTATATTATATATTTTATAATATATCAGGATTCAGGCGACTAATTCATATTTGTTGAGTATTATATTCATGCAATCAACCTGTTATACTAAGAATTCCAGCCAATCTGACAGCCGCTCTGCCAGTCAAGTGTACAACATATTCTACATCAAGTTGCTGCGTTAAAATGAGCCCATTTCTTAGTTATAAAATTCAAGTTCGAGTATATTTTTTGATAGTGTCGCTAAGCACTCTTACCAAGGACCCTGAGTTGTCAAAAATGCAGATTTCAGATGGAAACACGAGAACATTTTCATAATCTATGATGTTAAACAATAACATTGTTATGACAGTAACATCTCTAAACCACGATATCACTATCACGTGAATCACGGGTCGATTGTTAAAATCCTCACACAAATGTGTGGTAACAGGGTAAAGTATGTTTTGATGGGCACCAAGTATCATGTTTCCATTCTGTTGCCTTGGTTATCTCAGTCTCTGTTAAACCTAGCGTATTTGTGGTTGAATATGTCGCTCACCTTGATGGGTTATTATATATATTTTTCTCAGCTTTACTAGACCTAGGTTATGTTCAAAAATCCAATCAATAAAATCTATACCTTTTCGACTAAGTTAATCATAGAAATTTAATGACTGCAATCTACATAATTTGATGATAATATGTTGCCATAATGCCATACTATTCCAACGTATTATGTTAGATTACATTCCAGCTCATTTCCCTCAATTACCTAGCTCCATAGAACCACGTCCCTAATTTCAGGACAGGGTGACACACATCATGACATCAGTTGTTCTACTATTAGATTTACAGAGTATTGTAATGCAGGTTTATGTTTCATTACCAGGTTTGTGTTTCATTACCACCCCTGTGAGACGTGCTATTCTGACCCCCAGCTGTGGTTAATTCGTTATTTTTAGATTGGATTGAGCTTCGTTGAAAAGTCACGTCTTAAAGTTATGATAGTTTGTGTTAACTTTGTGTTACTGTATTGTGGTGAGCTTCTTGGTTATATCAGATGAAATTAGAGTAATTTGATCGTTTTTTAGTGACGAAAACAAGAGGTCAGGGTAGGACAATTTACCGTTAGCTGGCTTTAAAGCTTTAAGCTAATCATGAGCCATGGAATTTTAGCTGTGACGACCAATACTAAAATTGTTGCCACGGACACGTTGTTGTGGATATTTATGTCAAACTATTTCAAGGCCGTAATGATAAAAATTTGTATTAAGTAGCAGTAATTATACAGGGTGGGCCAAAAGTCAGTACCCATACGTTGGCCTTTATAGCTCAGTCACTGAGTGCCCAATTTAAATACTTCCTTCTGATATGACTTAGTACCACCACTGGTTCGAGGAATTTGTCAACTCGAAAAATATTCGCGTTCATTTTTTTCAAATGAAGGTTCATTTTCACATTTATTTGATAGTTTGGATAGTTGGATCAAGCTTAATGTTATTAAATTGTGTTTGGCCATTCGAATTACGTTTGTCCTGAAAGAATTAAAACTGTAGCTTCTCAGATGACCGAGATATGAAGCATAACGAGTTTATTCATTACGTGCGATCAGGTGATTGGATTACCTAATCACGTGATAAGGTGACCCCGTTAACCACCCCGTTAAACATTATGGGAATTGTTAAGAGTGCCCAATTAAGGTGTCGTGTCACGGTGTCACATAATCACCCAGTCAATTTTGTTAACGAGATACAGAAAATGCTTGATAACTTCGTCATTTCTAATCCGTTTTGCCTCATGTTTTCAGATCATATGTAACATTTGATAATCTACCGTCTCTGAAAAAATTAGGCGTTCAGCATGTTCAGAGAAAACAATATAGGTGTTTTAATATTGAATGGGCGTGGTCTAAAATATTCGAATTTTCAAATTTTGACGACGGAATCCTCGAACCAGTAAGTACAGTATGCAATCTGCAAAGCAACAGCTCTCAAATATAAAACACGGCGGAGCTATTAAGGCCAACGTATGGGTACTGACTTTTGGCCCACCCTGTATATATATAAGATCTAATCAACACCGACTTTTAATGTGTAGGAGTACAGCTACAAAATATATAATATATATTAGTATAATTAATTACTAATTATACCGTTTTTAAATCGTTTCGACAACGTCTTAAAATTTCTATGATTATTGTCCTAGTCTATATAAGATACGCTTTGATGCAGTTTGGACATGTAACATTATTCGACCTTTTTGTTTGGCTGTCAGACTTCTAGCACGGCCTTATCTCGCGATAGAACAGGCAAATGGTGTGAATTATCTACTCATATAACATCACACTATTATAAATTGCTAGATGTGCGTGGTCTATATGTACTGGTCCACACATTTGAGGTTTTCTTGGCTATCTTGTAGTTTGTACCAATTCATTACTTTGCTAATTTCGTGGAAGTCGATTGCGTCATCACGTCATGCCATTACAGTTTCAAAACAGCGAAATCTATCCGAACATCATGCACCCCGAAACTATTGTCGATTATGATCAGAACGGAGAAATGTCAGAACCGGAAGGATTACAAACCCAGCCAACTCTGAACGACTTCGTGATTGTGTACAAAGCAAAGAAAGAGACCGGCTGTCTTGAGATCTTTTTTCGCCAAGTTGAGCAGGAAGTAGGTCTTAAAGTAAAGAAGTTGTTATCTTCCAAGTTCGATAAGAATGGACTGATGTACGGTGTAATCTCAGCTTCTCGGGAAGTGCTCGCTGAGCGGGCTGTAAAGCTCAAAATATCTATCCCAGTCCAAAAACAAGTTGATGAGGAGTATTCCCTGGCAAAATCTTGCATGAAGACCATCAAGCACTACTTTTCTCCTTGTCTGGAGTCTGGATTTTTCAAGATCCCATACGACCCTCAGTATGAAGATCATATCAATCACTCCATTTTCGAGGGAGGGGATCCATTCAATTCCTCTAGAATCAGAATCATGTTGATACATGATCTTATCAAGGATATCGATATCACATCAGAATTGAAAGAGAAAGAACCTAGTTATCCATCTCTAAAGAGAGATGAATACCGCGGTCTACGGTGGCTGGAAGAGCACAAATACATCGAAGATAGCTTCCCTCTGCACAGTATAGATGAGGTAAAGAATCTGGCAAGTTCAGTCCTTTCTACTAAAGAATCTTGGTACAGGTCTCTGTCTCTAACTTCACTGAGAAATTACTTCGGAGAGAAGATTGGACTGTCATTTGCTTGGAGGTCAGCCTGGATGTCTAATGCACTGCCATTCCCTATCCTATTTGGTGAGTTGAACTAAACATGAATCTGATCTTAAATCCAATAATGATACAGTCCATAATGTCTCAGTTTTTTCACCCTGTTATGATTTTCTGCAGTAAACTATTATCAATGAAATATTTAAACTTTTAAAACTACAATGAACAAAACATTGCAGGTCTGATCACGATATTTTACGGCATCGTCATAGGCACGAGCACCGAAAAAAGTATGTTCGGTAACAAGATTGAGGATAGGTACCTTGCTGCCATGAACAACCGAGCCACTCCTTACTACGCTCTGTTAATGTGCATTTGGGCAGCAGTCTTTCCAAAAATCTGGTCTAGATTCAAATACATTTATTCCTTTAAATGGGGCACGACCAACTACTTCCTGTTTGATGAAAGAGAGATTGTTAAGTTTGCTGCAATGAAAGAAAGATCAAGAGGTGCACTATACCAGAGGTACTGTCTAACTTGGGCGTGTACGTTTGTATCCATATTGATAGGAGTTACTTACTGCTTGGGAATGATATACATCCAGATGACACTGACGACATACCTCGAGGACATGATTGATCAAGCGGACCTAACAGTTAATGCTGCGATATCTTTGATAAATACATTCTTAGTCAACCTGGTGATTAACCCGATGTTTGAATGGAGTTCAAAGAAGCTTACTGCGTTTGAAAGACATCATTTTGATTCAGGTTCACAGCATATCATTATATTTTTTGGCAGTAATGTTCTAATATTGAATATTAATCTCTACCTTACAAGACTTTTTTGTGGCGGACCAATTTGCGACGACCGAAATTTTGGCAATTGGCGGTCCGAAAATATGGCGAAATTGAACAAAAACCGTCACATTTCGGACGTCACAGAAAATAAGTGTATTTTTCATCATTTTGTTTTCTGACACAAAGGAAATTCAAAATTTTCTAAAAATCGGTAAAATCATGTTGAAACAAAATGAAACTCATAAATCGATTTCTTCATCTTCCTCTATACTTAAGGGGTCCGGCTCGACTCTTTCAGTTTCACGCTGTTCTCCAGTGTACTCCCAGGAGTAAGATTCTCGGATAAGCGTATTACTTGACATTAAATTCATCATGGAATATTGTGTTTATTTGTCCCACCATCATATCACTAACTTTTCAAGAACAAAATGAATCGATGAAGCCACAATTATTGGAATGAGCTAAAAATAATGCGACAGATTCTATTACGACGACCGAAATTTTGGCGGTCCGAAAATATGGCGAAATTTCGGGAAAACCGTCGCATTTCGTACGTTATGAAAAAGTCTTGTAAGGTATTGTATTTAAAGGTACCTAGAGAACATCAAAACGATAAAAAACATTTATTTCAGATTTCGAGAGAGCCCTTACAATCCGGGTGTTTTGCAACTCATTCTTCAACAACAACATTCGGATCCTTATGATGCTGATAGTGCCCAGATTTGACCTCACAAATATATTCACCCACAAAACGGACTCTTTCGAGCTTTGCAAAGAAGGGCAATGTGCAGAGGCCATTGGCTATCAAGTGGCATTTTTCCTCCTTCTGCGGCCAATTATAGATCTAGCTAGGTATGTTCGACATACGATCAGGATATTGTTTTGCAAAAAGAGAGCTGTAAAAGATGAGCTGGATATAGTAGATGGGTCTCTGATTGAATTTGTGGAGAAGCAACACGGACTCTTTTCCGGACAGAGGTTTGGAAAGCAACTAGCTCTTAAAAACTTTTACTCACAAAGATTAATTTTTGCTGCTTAAAATAGAAATTTAGAAGATAAGAGTTATTTGTGTCTAATAACCTTTGAATCCTCATTATTCTATTATTTAATAATGAGGTCTGATCGTCATGTTCTTACAGCGTTCGATGTCTGTGTGAAGGTAAAATGGTGATATCCTCTGGATCAGGCAGAGGTCGAGTGTTATCGGGATTATTTCTTTAGTAGTGGAACAGCAATAGTCCCATTACCTTAGTATTGCTGTTCCACTACTAAAAATATTCTATTATTTGATTAGACTGTAGTGATTGAGCAAAGTTCAATAACCACAACTTGTTCTTCAGGTTCGGAGAGAAGTTCACAACGATGGATGATATGAATGCTAGGGTTGCTCAATATGGCTTTGTGGTCATGTTTGCTGCAGCCTTTCCTCTTGCTCCTATCATTGCCTTCTTGATGGAGTATTTTGTTAGGAGGGCAGATATTGACCGGTAAGATTATTTTATAACAATTAACAATATAAGCCGGCCTTAGGTGAGCTGCCATCTTTTCTTATAATTAACTATCTAGGTACATTCTTGTACTGTCTTAGATCTTGAGGAAGCAATCTGTAAAACCACAAACTGTTTTAAAAGAAGTACATTGTAGTTTGCTAGTGATACCAAAAGGTACATTTCAATGTACCATTTACTTTTCAACTCTAAAAGGTACCTAAAGAGACAAAGAAGACCCATTCCACGAAGACAGGAGGGTATTGGGAGTTGGGAAGATATTTTAGAATTTGTAAACATGATGGCTATCTGCACAAACGTCTGGATTATTGCATTCCGGTATGATTTTGTTTCACCTTTGTAATTATTACCTCCAAATTATCTTACAGAAAATAAGATAATTTGATAATGATTGTGGAATGTGTAGTGACACAGAGTCTATACCTTGACTAAATAGTAAATAATGTTTCAGGTCAAATTATGGTTTTAATCTATTTATTGACTGGAAAAGATACTACCCTGAGGATTACCAAGCTATGCTCAGTGTCGTCCTCATATCATCTCTAGTCCTTCTAACGTCTTTGATAAGAGCTGTTACTCAGTACAATAAGATCCCAGAAAAAGTGAAGATATTTCAGAGGGAGGAAGAGAAGACAGCGGGAGAATTTTTAGGTAACATGTCAAACGGGAATTCTTGCAGAGGACCCGGCAATAGAACATTTGTTTCACAAAACTCGGTGGCAGTTTGATGAGGAGTAAAAATTTCTGAGAAATTTGGTAGCATGCCAATTTTATAATGAGGCATTTATCGTTTTGATTCTAACTCATCTAAGAATAATTTGAGCAGCACAGATTAACAAAACAATCAAAGCTTTTGCATTTCAATAATTTATGTCAGTATTGAGAGAAAAGCTTGTTATGTATTTCAGGTTGTTTACTTTTCCTGGAGTTCCGTACTAAAATATTCTGAAATAAAAGATTCAAAGAATGTTGTTGTTTAATGACTTACCCATAAATATTTCGGCAGCATCAGCAAAAGACATCATTCCGAGCACAATCATAAAGAAAATGTGGTATCTGCCAAACCCAGCAGCTTCCAGTACCTGATGGGAAGTTTTATTATCCTGAATAACATTGACACATAACATTCTTTAACCAATGAAATAGTGTCAACAGTCAAAATTACTTTGCTTTATGTTTAATTAGCCCGAGATTGAAACATAACATGTAAAATAGTATGTATAAGTATGAGCTGATAGTCTCACAAATAACATCCATCATCAAAATATTATATAAGCAGGAATGTAAAATCCGGATCGGAGTATTGTTTATTGAGTCATTCCTTTCCTGATAAGAGCATTTTTCCTTGTCGCATCAAACGGGATCAATACAAATTTACACAAGAATACATAAGCCAGAATCTCAACTTCCATGAAACATTTTCGTATTAGTATTAGAGAAACAATTACAAAATCATCAACAAACATTATTAAGATCGTAAGTAGGAATCGATTCTGTACTTTCAGGGCTTGTTGGTAGTGTTTCGGGACTGAGTGAAGTGGGAGATCTTATTTCAATATCTTCTAACCGAGCTGAAATTATTGAATAATTAAACTTTCAAAATTTGCCCTGAGCTAAATCTATAACTAAATCCAGTGAGTGCTCTTTAATAATGTATTCTTTGAAAATGCAGATAGATTATTACCTTGGTCATCAATTTCATTAGGAAATTCCCCTGTAACTTCATCACTTACATCAAGAGTGGGGTTTGCATAGGCCATATCTGACAAATAATCATAAGATTACTTGTTGATGGTTGGATACTTAATTAAATGTGTTCTTAGGTTCTGTGAATAATAAACATTGAATCGATTAATAAGAACAGGATAAGTATTTGCAGAAAAAATCCACATTATTCTAATACTATACTTCAAGTATCAAAATATAAGCACACCAGCTTAAATTTCAAACTTGACTACATGGTTGCCAATTTTATCCTATACCTGTGGAGTAATAAAACAGAAGTTAAGAGAGCGATTAGTGACTAATCTTTGAATGCCAGAAGGCACGATCGATATGGCTTAGTGGTGAGAGCTTCCGGCTCTTGTGCAGAAGGCCGTGGTTTGAATCCCAGTGTCACCTAGTCTACCAGGGAGTTGATTCAAGATGTCAATCCTTCGCAGCTCAGTGAGGCCCAGTGGTGCATCTCGCTGATCTACCGAAGATCGGTTGCGAGAACATCGCGCTACAAACCAGGGAATAGCTTAGGATCCATTGCATTAGATCAATGTAAAATTACATATCTGTGTAATTTCTCCTTTGTTGACTCAGCAGAATGATCGGAAACGTGATCGAGGATTAGTTGAAGAGGGCCTTGCAAAAAGAACAAAGATCTTCCTAAGATAACCCTTCATAGGGTACCCTTCATCAGCACAACAATATTGTGGTAATTAAAGCAAAGCAAAGTACAATTTTTGGATGAAGCATTGAAAATGGACAATCACCAAACGGTAATATTTCTGTTAAAAGTTATAAAATTATTCAAACAAAATAAACATAATATAGCAATGACCCTATATAAAATCTACCCTTTAAGAATTAAAAAAGTTTCCTAAACAATCAAAAATTACCCTTGGCCTTGTGGGCTGTGGCTCCAAGTTAAGATCTAGACTGTTTATATCAACAAGGTTTTTTCTCGCACCTCTGTCTCCACGGAGAGAAATCACTGTTGTTCTTAGGATTTCCAGGCCTGTCAAGGTCGTATTGGACAGTTCAGCCGCATTGACAGATCTTTTGAGAAAATCGAAGGAGCTCAAAAGCACGATTTTCAAAAATGTTTATCTGACACCTGATCGAACCCTGGAGCAGAGAGTAGAACATCGAAAACTGGTAGCAGAATTGAGAGAGAAAGCTCGAGAAATGCCAAACGAACATCATTTTATTAGGAAAGGTGCAGTTTGCAGTCAAGTAAAATCAGTAGAAGATAAGGACACTGTCTCGACAAGTTCAGCAATGAAAAGTAGTAGTGCAGGAGTAACTAAGAAAAAGGAAAAGAAACCCAGACCACTTTTACCGCATCATATAGCGTGTAATCGTCGACCACCACCAGGATACGTGTCACCAGTCACAACTGACTCATCAGATAATGATTATTGACAATTAAAATTTTGGTCCCCCCTTGTTCAAATTTGTTATTATAACTGGGTTGATTTCTAAGTGATAACGCTGCTTATCTATTAACAGCAACACATTTTCTGGATTACATGACCGATAAGAAGTTTGTTAAGTAGATACATACAACGGTTTTAATATTATTACATGACACATAATAGGATTGAATTAATATTGATATTAAAATGCTCATTGTAGCCATATATTTTAGATTTTCATCATCATCATCTTAGGATTTCAAAGCGAAGGCGCTTTCTAATGTATCCTACAGCATCCGAGTACCTCTGGCCAGTGTGGTACTCCATCTTACTGGCCAGCTTCTTAACCAGTCTTTCAGCTTCACCACCCACTTCAAGAACCCTTGCGTTGTAACATCGCTTTTTCTCATTTTCATGGGACTGGTACATCGCTGGGATCGATTTGCTTGCATTGGAGGGGGCTGGGGCATGAAATAATAATAATAATAATAATAAATACAACATTTATAAACCGCCTTATAGCTAAATCATATAACTCGATATAATTTAATCCTGGAGATAAACTCCAGTGCTTTCTAAAGCGGCTCTTACATTAACTGAGCTTAGTTTAATTGAAAATTAGACATGACAAGTTCATTTTACCTATGTAAATGCAAAATCAATCAAATGCTAGAGAAAAGAAGTATGTTTTAAGTTTGGTCTTGAAAGATGTAACTGACTCAGCTGATCTTATGTCGTATGGCAAGGAATTAAATACTTTAACTGCACAGTGACTAAAAGCTTTCTCTGTGTTTACATAGTTAGGAGAGGTTGGAAAACTAAGGTAAAAATAATCATTATCAAGACGTACATTTTTAAAACTTTGCTGCCTAGGAGATATCAACTCTTTTAAGTAAGGAGGAGCTATATTATTTAAACACTTGTAGGCAAGTAGGGCAATCTTAAAATCTATTCTAAATCTAACTGGTAGAAAATGAACTTTCTTAAGAAGTGGAGTAGTGTGTGCCTTTCTTCCTCTCCCGAAAATAAATCTTACAGCAGAATTTTGCACCTTCTGTAAACGACTTAAATCATAAGAGCTCAGTCCAAAATATACGCTATTGCAATAATCAATTCTAGAGAGTACTAGAGCATGAACAAGCTGAATCTTAAGGTTAAAAGACAGTTTTGATGCAATAAACCACAAATTTCTGATCTGAATATTACATGCTTGAACCACTGACGTAATCTGATCACTCATTGAAAGATAACTGTCCAAATACAGCCCAAGACTCTTCACAGTTCCACTAACAACATGTGGCTCTTGATCCTTAACAATCTGTAGAGAGGCTGGAATATTTGTTGAGTCAAATTTAGAGGATATAACGATGACTTCAGTCTTAGAAGAATTCAGTTGAAGGAAATTGTTTGATGGGTCATCAGAATCAAGGGTCTGATGGGTCATCAGAATCAAGAGTGAAATACAGCTGGGTGTCATCAGCATACAAATGAATACAGCACCCATGCATACTTGCAATGTTCTCAAGATCTTTGGTGTACAATATGAATAGCAGGGGGCCAAGGATTGAACCTTGTGGCACACCTATCTCAAGAACAGTTGCTGAGGAAGACGAATCCTTGACTTTGACACAAAATGAACGGTTAGCCAAGTAGGACCTGATCCATGTAAGAGCAATGCCTGTAATGCCATAAGCAGATCTTAGCTTCTTGATTAATCTTGGGTGATTGACAGTATCAAAGGCAGCACTCAAATCTAGAAGTAAAAGAACAACTTTAGTTTTCTTGTCAATAGTTATCAAGATGTCGTTATGGATTCTGGTTGTTGCAGTTTCACAGCTATGAAACTTCCTATAGCCGGACTGAACTTTAGAAAGCAAGTTGTTATCCTCAAGATAACTGGTGAGCTGTATAGATACACACTTCTCAATGATTTTTGACAAGAATGAGAGATTGCTAATAGGCCTATAGTTAGATAGAGATTCACCGTCAAGGCCACGTTTCTTCAAACTTGGACGAATGAGAGCCTCCTTAAGTTTTATAGGAAACTCACCTTTAACTAATGATTCATTGACTATAAATGAGATCAGAGGAAGGAGTTCTGGGAGACACTTGATAAGAATCTTTGTAGGTATGGGGTCAAGATCACAGAATTTGTTAGACATATTCTTTATGATGCTTACTAGTTCTTCATCAGACACATGACGGAATTGTATCTTTGGGCTATTAGAAAGAGGAACAAATTCATCTGAGTTAGGAGAATCTTGGGATTGTTGTTCTAAATAAATGTTGTTGTATATGTTGTCGACCTTTGATTTAAAGAACTGTGCAAAGTTGTTAGCACTCTCAAGATTTGAAGAGCAAGAAGGTGTAGTAGTACTAACTTTTTCTTTATTGAGCAACTTATTAACGATGGAATAAGTCTTTTTAGCATCACCTGCACTATCTTGTAACCTTGTTTTGTAGAAGTGATCTCTTGTGGATACAATGACTGAGGATGCTCTCTCTGATGCTTTCCTGTACAGTCGTTTATAATCTGGGCAATCATGATTCTTTTGATACAGTCTCTCAATCTTTCTTCTCATTGCTTTTGCTTGTTGACAGTGTGTAGACCACCATTCAGCGTTATGATCTTTTCTTGGGATGAAAGTTTTTTCTTTAGCATGCTTGTCCAAAATACTGCTCAACTCAGACTCAAAGATATCAACTGCACTATCGAGGTCATTGAAGCAATCAGTGTCACATAGTTTTGACTTAAGAATGTCCTCAACAAAAGCATCTAGGTCTATGCAAGCAATGTTTCTGTAAATAATTGGTTCTAGAGTGCCTATGGGTGCTGGAGATACATTGCAATTGAAAGCAACAAAGTAGTGGTCAGACGATGTACCAGAATCAGTAATGACAGGATCTAGAACTTCAATGCAATCGTGAGTAAAAGAACCATCCCTGGTAATTACAAGATCTAATATGCCCCCATCTCTGTGTGTTGCAGCTGAAATTTGTTGCACCCACCCACAAGACTTAAGTAGTGAATTAAACCTTTGTGCAACTGAATCATTTTCGTCTTCAATGTGGATATTAAAATCACCCATGATCAAGGGCTTTCCAGGTTTGTCTACTAAATCAACCAAGAGTTGCTCAAAGTCAGTTAGAAATTGGGGGATGTTAGCACTCTGAGATGTGGAGGTGCCAGAACGGTAAATTGAAACAATTCGTAGTATATCTCCAGAAGATGATTAGAAGGTACATTCACAAGACTCAAACGTTTTGAATCGCTTGCACTTCTGAGGAGTCACTTTAAGACTTTTCTTATATAGAACAGCAACACCTCCTCCCCGCCCAGCTCTTGGCTGGCTATGAATGGAATATCCAAGTTCTTTCATCTCAGAAAACTTAGCATTGTCATCTTTTCTCAGCCAAGTTTCTGTAGCACAGCAAATATCAGTATCAAAGTCTTCAAGCAATTGCATGACTCCAGCAGTTTTATTGCAGATGGATCTGCAATTGAACAGGGCAAAGTTCATACTCTGACATTCTGACTTAGAGTTTGTAGCTAGTTTTTTGAAGTAAGGATGTTTTGTTTATACCGATTCAATGCCTGTTGCATGATGGGGCACTGCTCTGAGCTGGAATGGTGAGTGTTACAGTGAGATGAGATTCTTGGATCTTTTGACAGACTGCAATTGCGACATCTATGTCTGCTAGGGTCTTCCTTGTAATGACAGTCTGATGTTCTATGCCTACCGCTGCAATACATACAAACCAGAGTTTCTTTCTCAGGACAATTTTGGGAAATATGGTGGAGCTTCTGACAATTATAGCACTGCTTGATGATGAATCTATCCTTTACAGGACAAGCACTATTCAGAATGAAGATTTTGCCGTCTCCTGTCAATAGGTTCCTAATCTGAGGAGAGACCTTGATCCCAGCAGTAGTGTACCTTAGTCCAACATTTATGTACACAATTTCAAAGAAATGCTCATTATCTAGCAAGTGTTTAAGTCCAGGATTTTTCAAGGGAATAATATCTAGAAGAGCTTTTTTAGTCTGTAACCGGAAATCTTCAGCGGGCAAACCAGAGCGATCAATGGTTTCGAATATCTGACTGGGAATATTAGACACAGTGACCTTAGGGAGAGCTTTCTGTGAGAGAGTGATGTGAAAACCAAGTAATTTAATGACATCAGAGTTTTCAATAAGACTTTTAGCCTTCAGCCTATCAGATGAAGATGGAAAAACTAGCGTTATCTTCTTATGTGAATCTAGTAGGCTAGTTTTCATAGCAATCAATCGTGTGTCATAGAGCAACTCAGATAGAACATCTGGAGCAGATGAAATATCAGCAGAAGGAGAGGGACTATCTAGCACCAATATCTCTTTACTTTCCTTGCTAATTTGATTTATGTTAGCGGACACTTTACTTGGCTGAGGAGAACTAGCACCACCTACAAGAGCTTCAGCAAAATTGCTGTAAGAGGACAGTGCACTTGGAGACCGGGATTGCAAGTTTTCTTTGTTAACATTAGAAACTCGCTCTTCCAGCGAATGTTCAGAGGCTGGAGCACATAGAGCAAGCTTGTCGACAATAATGCTATGCATTTCCTCACGAAATGATTCCAGAAGGGCAGAGTTGTTTGCCCTCATCAGATGCTCAACTTTGGAGAGAACATCAGGAGCTTCATCATGACCATTATCATGACTCATCACAGGGTTGGACTTAGAAGCATCTACCACAGATGGTACAGGTGGACCAGGTGGAGAAAAGTTTTTGGAAGAACGGGTGTCATCTACCAGTGAAATGCAATCTTCACATACGAATAGAAAATAACCCCAACGAGCTTGATCTGCAATCATAGGTCTCACCTTAGCACGGAAGGTATTTGTACAAATGGACTCAGGAAATTGAACACTGGTTTTTTTTGCGACAAGCGGAGTGAAACATCCCATCACAGACATTACAGATAATCGATTCATTCACAGTGTCATTACTCCCACACTGTTTACACGAGCCGTCTTCAAATACAGGAAGTATAACAGAGTTCTTCTTTGGCTTTAGAGTCTTCTTGAGCTTCTTACTGGCCAGGGCCTCGTGCCCCTTTTGGCCCGCCATTGACATTGCTTCCTGAAACTCAATAAATGTAATAGATTTGTAGTGTTGTAATTAGTTTAAAACTTAATACCCTTACATCAAAAAATGCTCTCTCTGAAGCATTCCAAATCGATCTTGCAGAAATGTCCAGCCTAGCTTGGTCTCCTAGGACTGTTCCCTTTGGTAACTCTAGACCATCAACTGGAAGAAGAACTGGCTCAGTCTGCACATCCCTGCAAAGGTGTCTCTGTTTTGGAACATTATTATGCTTGAGCTGCTTGAGTTCTGCAAAGGTGTCTCTGTTAAAAGTAACATGGGTTCCCTAAACCACAAGATCACCATTTTCATTTTAGGCAAAGGCTTCAGCAATCAGCATCTTTATTTCTGACCATTTTAAAGGCTTCACTGTCTTTAATTCATAGCAATCTGTTTTTAAATTTATTGGTAGACAATACAAATAAAATAAGGTCATACGTCAGTGTGTGATGTGAAATGAGCTTTATATTATTACATCCGATCTATTTTGAGACCAGTTGTATGTGGCATCTTCAATTTTTCAATTTTGAAACCTTGCTATTTTGAATTTTTTAATTTGAAGGCTCCGTATATAATAAACGGCATTTCTGAGTTTAACGGGTGATACTCGTAAAATATTTGTTCCAAATATTACCGTCGACGAGTCCAACTCGGCGCCCGTCCTGGTAGGTTATAAACCTACAACTCTGAGTGCATTGTAATTACCAGTAAATTAATTTTGGTCGGATCATAATTCCCACTTTATTGACCATGCTAACTTTTGGCCTTTTCAACTCAAGCATAATAATACTCCAAATTGTTTACAACAGAAATCCGGACTTATAAGCAATATTTTCAAAAATATGAAATATTTATATTATATATTATTTATGCTGATTATTCCGAAACTCGTGACACACAAAATTGATTGACGATGTCAACATTTCCAAATCGTTGCTAGCTCTGTTTGTGATTCGTGAAGCAAAGCATTACGATCTTTTCTAAAGATTTTATTGAAGCGAGACAAGAATGACAGTTCTTGTAAGTTTATAACTTACCAAGACGCGCACCTAGTTGGACTTGTCCACGGTCTTGTATTTGAAACAAATGTTATATTAGTATCACCCGTTAAGGCAGTTCGCGCGGCGTGTTGAAGCGGTGACGTCCTCCTACTACACAACAACAACAAAAACCGTTTTGGTCACGTGACAGGCTAGTAAAACATGAATTCGATTGTTTAGGGCTCGGGTTAGAGTTAGGGTTGTGGTAAGGGTTAATGGGTTATGGATAGCTTCGGGGTTATGGTTAGGGTTACGCTTTTTTTGCCACATAAGTGATGATGATGAAACAAAAATTAATTTATTTTTATTTTTATTTTTACTACATACTACCTACTTACTTGTAACTGGCTTTTTCAATTTTTACTTAAACTTGATTTGAAACTTGATTCAAGATGTCAATCTTTAGCATCTCGCCGATTTGCATATTTTTTGCATATTTTTTGCATATTTTTTGCATATTTTTTGCAAATTTTTTGCATATTTTTTGGCGCTTCGCGCCAAAACCTGAATTTCAAAAAATTTTCGGGGCAAGGACAAAATGAAATTGCAGCATGTGCAAAATCGCGATTTTTTAATGTTTTACGTTTCCCGCGTCAAATTGCGATTTTATTCAGATCCTCCGCATTTTCACGTATTTTTTATTCAAATCTGCGGGCTAGGGCTAAATATTACGTTTTCTATGAGCATATGAAACCAATCATCATGCATATACTAGGGGGTGCACCATAAAAATAAACTTGCTCGGATTTTAAAAATTTTTGTACCATTGTTTTCTAGAGACTGTGAGAATTTTCACAATACCAAATTTGTCATACCTTTTTGAAAAGATCAGTGAGTTTCGCCTAGGTGCCATATTTGATGGTGCGCGGCTTTTGGAGCAAAATTTGCTGTAAAAGTCGCGTAATTTGACCAAATTTGACCAAATTCGTTGATTTTTGTCGTATTATTTGGATATATCTTCAGTTCCTTGAATGAGATCATTCTGAAAATTTGCGACGACCTTCCAATAGGGCTTTCACAACTGTCCGAAAAATTTGGTGGATATCGGAGTTGATATAGTGATCAAAATGGGGCAAAATACGCTGCTTTTAGCTGTAACATAATGTCTGATGGTTGGATATGCTTTAAACTTTTCGGACACTTTCCTTGTAAGTCTATGAGTAAGCTTACCAATTTTTGTTGCAATCAGAGGTCGGGAAGGATACTTAATATCTATTTGTTTGAAGAAAATTGTGCTGGCCGAAATTAGCGCTAAAAAACCATCCTACAGTCGGCACGCGCGGCTCACTGTCGATGGCGCACTACCTACATATACACAGCCTTCCGAATGTAGGTACGGATTTCAGAAAACCGAAAATACATTTTCGGCTCTTAATGATCAAGTTAGCATGAAACATGAACAATAGTGGTTTCCAGAAAAACTTTAAACTTTGAAAATTTTTGAAAGGGAGGCTTCACATAGCCATGTGCCTACGCGTACTGCGTGACGCGCTTGTTTCACAAGTAGGATAGGCACATACAGATCAGCACACATAAGATGGTACGTGTGCGCGCGCGCAGTGCTGACAATTGCGTCGTACTTAACTCCGTGTGCACGTACATCGTGTGCGATTATTTATACTTATTGAAGGCTATAAATGCCTCTTGTTTATTTTAATTTGGTATTGTTCACTTTTAGACGATAAAATACAGGAATTGCGGTATAATAATACGAATAATTAAGATTGTACGATCAAAATACATCACGAAACAGTATCAACTACCTCGCTACTTATCAACTTATACTATGTACTATGCGACAAAGATACACAAAGCAATATTTATATACTTATAGAATAAACGAAACACAGTATTCAGTATTTACTAGTACTACCCCGCTACTAGTAGTAGTACTACAACTTAATGCGACAAAGGTCAAAGATATTGTATAAAATATAACTAAATAAACAATACGGTGCCCATGCCTGAGCTTTATAAAACTGGAAACACTTCTCAGATTAATTATTTTGCTTCTCAAAAACAATTACAAACTAACAATTTTCGACGTTAAACAGCTACATTAAACATTAACATTACACTTCACAATCCGAAAGAAAGGGGCTCGTCGCTGCAGGCCTGACTTTGACTTGATCCTGAAAAAGTACATGTCATTTAGGTACCGCGACAATTGTGAATTGACCCCTCGACAATTGACCCCCTATGTAATTACACTGGGGTCAATTGTCGCGAAATCTAGGGTTTAGTACGACAATTGGCCCCCCGAAAATTGACCCACCGACAATTGACCCCCTACCTATGTAATTAAACTAGGGTCAATTGTCGCGAAATCTAGGACTTAGTACGACAATTGACCCCCATGTAATTACACTGGGTCAATTAATCGGGTTAGGGTCATGGTCAGGGTCAGAGTCAGTGGTCAGGGTCAGGGTCAGGGTCAGGGTCAGGGTCAGGGTCAGGGTTAGGCCTAGGGTTAGGGTTAGGGTCCTGGGTCAGGGTCAGGGTCAGGGTCAGGGTCAGGGTCAGGGTCAGGGTCAGGGTCAGGGTCAGGGTCAGGGTCAAGGTCAGGGTCCTGGATCAGGGTCAGGGTCAGGGTCAGGGTCAGGGTCAGGGTCAGGGTCAGGGTCAGGGTCAGGGTCAGGGTCAGGGTCAGGGTCAGGGTCAGGGTCAGGGTTAATTGTATCAAATTATATTGTCGGGGGGTTAATTGTCGGGGGGTAAATTGTCGCCCACCCGTCATTTAATGTAATTACATAATACAATATAATACATAATTTGGTTATGTAGACAGCATGAGAGTAGGCCTGGCCATCTCGAAGTGATAATAATACATAATACAATGTAAATGTTGCTGTTACAAAATGTATAGCTAACATAAGCGAGCGTTCATGTATGACGTCAGCGACCGAGGGAAAAGGGTATTTGGAAATGCTGACGGTTGCTGACAGGAGGGGGAGGTATGAGCCTTGTTAACGTCAACAAAAATACGTGAATTCAAATCAATTTTATTAGCAATAAAACGTCACTAATTTCCTTAAAATTAGTACTCTAACTGAACTCTGGTGACCAACTGCTTAAATCAGTCACACACTAATTTTCCCTGCCTCATGCCTACTACTGGAAACTGTATCTCCAGACAAGTGTCAGACGTTACTATGCATTGGTTGCTCTTCAAAAAGGTTAGCAAAAAGATAAAGAGTGCGACCCTGATAAACTTTTGGGAGAGATTCATCGACGACATATTTGGAGTGTGGATGGGGACAGCGGGACAATTTACAATGTTTGTCGAATTGTTGAACAAACTGGCTAAATCAAACTGGCAGAACCATATAGAATCAAGGTTATCTTTTTAGACCTTACCTTGAGCTTGGACTCAGAAAATCAGATCTGGTACAAGCTATTTAGAAAGGAAACAGATGCTAGGAACTACTTGAGATCAGATACATATGTAGTTTCCAACCCCACCATGTGTAGAGGACCTGGGCGAACTAAAGGAGGATCTTGCCAGATGCGGACACAACAACAACGGTGACAAACTAGAAGAAATCGAGCCGAAAGCAATACAGAGGTCTATTGAGAACCCAGGAAATCCAACCAGAGACACTGAGGATAAGACACAACAGAGCCTCGTATTTTCCGTACAACACTCTTGATAACATTAGTCTTACAAAGTTGGTTAAGAACTTAATCTGGTCATTAAGCTACTAGGTTAATGTTATGTGGGGATGTACGGATAGTATTTGCCACTAGGAAACACCCTTCAATCGGTAATACACTAGAAAAGAATCGACAACTGGGACAACTGGAAACCCTTGATGTAGGACAATTACAGAGGTGTAATGGACCTAGCTGCAAAATTTGCCCCGTCCTCTTTGACAAGGACTCAAAAGATCATGGGGGGGGGGGGGGGGGGGCCAATGACTACCAATAGAGACTTTTGGGGACTAATGGGGACTAAAAATCATGGGGACTAGAGGTCAACTCGTTGACGTAATTCACCATTTGTCCCCATAAGTCCCCAGAATTTTTGACAGTTATTTATGGTTTTCAAGTTAGTTTAATAACGATACGATCGAGATGTTTTGTCCAAGATAAGAGTAGGATAAATCTAAATGGGGACTAATGGAGACTTTTGGGGACTAAAAATCATCTAAATGGGGACTAATGGAGACTTTTGGGGACTAAAAATCATGGGGACTCTGGGTAAAATCGTTGACGTAATTCCCCAAGTCCCCAAAAGTAGTCATTGGCCCCCCCCCCCCCCCCCGATCATGGTCAACAACATAGAACTGGTGCTAGACGGAACTCTAAAATGCAAGGACAAGCATGTTATCTACCTTATTGGTCATAATTATCACGGACATTACTTTCACACTGAAGACCTCAGCGTGAATTATTATGTCCGTGAAAATAATGTCTGTGGTATTAAGGTCCGTGAATAATAAAGTCCGATAATTATTTCCATTAATTTTAGTGTGCGTCCCACATAGGCGTAGATATGTCTGTAGCCGATTACTATATTAGCTAATTAGTATACTAGGACAAATATAATCACTCCTCAGTCACATTCTAGAGTTCAGAAAAAGAGTAAAAAACTGAATATTATAAACTGGAGTTATTTCAATTTTAAAGAAGACATTTTGGCTAGTATCCCGAACCGAGATATTATATGTGCAATTTTTTTCATGGAAGCCTTTTTACTTAGTATCCACTACAGGCACGTAGCCAGGATTTTTCTTTGGGGGGCCCTTTGCGAGCGGAGCGAGCCGACCCGTTCAATCCAGCTGCACAACAAAATTTGTTGTTTTCTTGATTTTTTATGTATGGTGTAAAACAGTGTAGAGAAGTGTACGATCGAAGAATATTTCCAGATTTAAACATGTAACAATTGTTGTTTAAATGCTACCTGAAGCTGTTCAAATGAAATTGAACTGGGAGAATCGAGAAGATTACAAGTCACAGCTACGTACAACAATCAGGGTCAGGAATGAAAAGGGATACGTAGATAGAGTTCCTTATAATCCCTGACTACGACAGGGAGCTGAAGGCAGATCTGGGAGGGTCTGGGCACAATATTATATTGCTATTATATTATCATCTGCACACTTATACTTTAACTTAGCTTAAACTAATTACAACACTACAAATCCATTACATTTATTGAGGATATGAGTATGACGTAGTTATGTCGATACGTTATTCAACTATTTATTTCTATTAGAATCTGTCTTCACTAAGTCTATTTAGAGACAATCAGAAATTTGAATCATTTATCAAGACATTATACTTATACATCACAAAACCTCCGACTTGATTTACAACTTAACTTCACAAACACTAATCATATAATACAAACTTACTCTGTCGGTTATCATACTATAATTCAAGGCAACATTAGCGTCCGTGAATTGATCTCTGCAGGAGCCCTCCCTTACTAAAACTTGTGTCTTCATCTGCCGTATTACTTGGGAATATCGCCGGTCTCAGCTTCAAACATAAAGGTATGATATTCAATAGATGCCGCTCTGCAAACTTCACCTGAAAAGGGATAAGTAGATAGAGCTCCTTATAATCCCTGACTACGACAGGGAGCTGAAGGCAGATCTGGGAGGGTCTGGGCACAATATTATATTGCTATATTATCATCTGCACACTTATTCTTAGTTTTAAACTAATTACAACACTACAAATCCATTACATTTATTGAGGATATGAGTATGACGTAGTTATGTCGATACGTTATTCAACTATTTATTTCTATTAGAATCTGTCTTCACTAAGTCTATTTAGAGACAATCAGAAATTTGAATCATTTATCAAGACATTATACTTATACATCACAAAACCTCCGACTTGATTTACAACTTAACTTCACAAACACTAATCATATAATACAAACTTACTCTGTCGGTTATCATACTATAATTTAAGGCAACATTAGCGTCCGTGAATTGATCTCTGCAGGAGCCCTCCCTTACTAAAACTTGTGTCTTCATCTGCCGTATTACTTGGGAATATCGCCGGTCTCAGCTTCAAACATAAAGGTATGATATTTAATAGACGCCGCTCTGCAAACGTCACCTTATCACCTACCTGAAACAGATTTTAAGATAAGCAACTAAATAAAGATTCGTTGAGATTCTGAGTTTCTGCCCTGACGGCTAACCAAATAAAATTTGGTTTAAGATATTTACCTTCTTTCAGATTTCTTTTTTAGACTGAACTAAACTTTAAACGATAACCTCTGAATGATCTGAACAACTAACTTTAAGGACATCGATCCTAAGAAATGGCCGTTTTTAAAAGCATTAAAAAATTTCAAAGGGTCTACACAATGTCAATAACGCGCGGCCGGCTGGCGCTAGATATTGTAAAAGGCTTACGATTTTTTCCTTTATTCATCAGAAAGTCAATGTGGCAGACATAAAGAGCTAAAACTCTGTCAAAGCTTCTAGATCAATCTTTCGATACTGTTTAGGCGGGAACTACAGGAGGTGCTATTTTCAGGTCCGTCTAGATCTCTGATAGGAAAAGTTAGTGGATCACTGGATCCGTCCCTGAAGTGAAACAAATGTTACTATCTTGCAAATGTTAACCATTTTATTTCGATTAGAATCGAATTTAACATACTTAAACTTGATATGATGTAATAATGAGGTACGTGTAAAAATCAAGGGTATCCCTCGAGCCAGTTCAGCTTGTGTAGTATAACAAAATAAATAGGGAAAAATAAGGGAGAGTACCTGGTGCCATGCTGTGTCAACAGAAGCGCTGAGGATAAATTCAGTGAGCATTAGTTGGAAAGGATTGTCATCAGTTACTGTGTGAGTTAGTGTTGTGGTGGACGAAAGGATAAGCCGCTGATCAGGGATATAGGCCCCTCCTCACGAACTCTCTGCTGTGTTGGCGCAACGAGTGAGACTTTGGGGTGGTCAAAAGATGTGATGGTCCCGTCAAGTCTTGGCGAAACTCAACATAGGTCAGATAGGTAGAAAACAATGCCATTGGAAAACTCTATCCAATGCAATAGTCACATTATAGTCATTTCTAGAAGAAGAAAAAAACCTGGTTAATGTTGTTTAATGTGAGAGAATAAGATAAAAGAGTCGACCAATTTTTGTCAGTGTAAATATTGTCAAACAGCGGGCTCCAAAATCGTCTAGGGGGAAAGAGCCCTGAATATCAGCTATCTGCCTTAGTACCTTGGCTCTAAAGTCTAAATTATGCAGCGATGACGACATAAAAAGTCGCTGTATCATGGCAAATCTTGCTTTGTCAGAACTAAAAGAAGGTTTAGGAGCAAAGTAAATATCAGACTTAAGATATGAAAGCACAGAAAGACTGAGTCAAATGTACAATTGTAGCTGCTGTCAGCTATTCTGCATCAAATAAAATATTAAGGGGCCATCTACTTAGGACGTCCAGCAAAAAGGGAGGGGGAGGTGGTTTTGGAATTTCGGACAAATCCGGACAGTGATAGGGAGTGGTTTCTGAAAATCCGGACGTCCGGAAATTTTGGCAGAATTAACGAAAAAGTCGCATTTATTTCAACTCTTTGACACTAATTACTCAGTAAGTTTAGATCCCTGTATTTTGAACGAGAAGTCGTTTCCCAGAGCAGCTCATGAGAGCTGAGACACAACTCGCATATTCTGCTACTGCCTTAAAACTTATTCCATTGGATGGCTACCTACTTAAGTACCTTAATGTAACTGTGCTAAACTTGTTCGACACTAAATGTATTATTGTCTATTCTAAGTGACTACACATTTTATTAACAATGAATTTGAGTTGTATTGGTTTTATTTGTACTCTTTAAAGTAGCTGGAAATCCGGACGTCCGGGGGAGGGGGTTTGAAAATTCGGACACACCCGGACAGGGGGAGGGGGTGCTCCCCGAGGGTGGTCTGAAAATCTGCAATTTTGACGGACGTCCCAAGTAGATGGCCCCTAAAGTCTAAACAAAAGTTCTCAAAACGTACACAACGAGAGAGTGTCGACCTACATGTCAATGAAACAGACTGTTTCACTGTTTGAGACAACACGTGTGTTTGCGCGCAATTCTGGAATAATCCGAGAGATGAACTGTAGCGAGTGTAACTTTAGTGTGCAGATGAGTGTGTACTTCGATGTATACTATTTCTGCACGTACAGGATCCTTTGTAAGGGGTCATTCACATATTTAGTTATCACTCACTTTGCTAACCAATACAGCAATACTGGGGTAGGTTCACTGATAGTGTTTCTCAGAGATATAGATGGCTGTAAATTATGCTAATAAATATATAAAAATAAATATGGTCAAATGTGAAATGTTAAACAATGAGATGATTTAAGAGAAGCAAATATTAGTGGACTGAAATTATAATCTGATAAAGTGCAGCTGTGAACTCAAATGTATAAAACAAACTCACAATTCGGATCGAACAGTTTAAAATGAAACACAATAAGACAGAGTAATTGGTAAAATGTTAAACAATAAGCTGTTTTAAGACAAGAAAATATTAGTCGACTGAAATTATGATCTGATAAAGTGCAATGTGAACTCAAATGTATAAAACAACAGATCGAACAGTATACAATAGTACATTTAACAAATGTACTATTGCAAATGACAAAAGTGTAATAAGGTAACTGGTAACAAGTCTGCTGGTTATTCAAAATTTAACATTAAAATATGTCCCGGCCCTTTGAATCATCCACCGAATGATCAACTGAATGATTGCAACAGACAAAGAAACAAGCAAAATTTGTTAAATGGAGTGCATGATCAAAGAAGGTATATTAGCTCCCTACAAAAATCTAATCCAATGAGAAAATAAATCTAAAGTCCAATTGCAAATGACAAAAGTGTGGTAAGGTAACTGCAGGTAACAAGTCTGCTGGTTATTGAGAATTTAACATTAAAATATGTCCCGGCCCTTTGAATCATCCGCCGAATGATCAACTGAATGATTGAAACAAACAAAGGAACAAGCAAAATTTGTTAAATGGAGTGCATGATCAAAGAAGGTATATTAGCTCCCTACAAAAATCTAATCCAATGAAAAAATAAATCCAAAGTCCAATTGCAAATGACAAAAGTGTAGCAAGGTAACTGCAGGTAACAAGTCTGCTGGTTATTGAGAATTTAACATTAAAATATGTCCCGGCCCTTTGAATCATCCGCCGAATGATCAACCGAATGATTGCAACAGACAAAGAAACAAGCAAAATTTGTTAAATGGAGTGCATGATCAAAGAAGGTATATTAGCTCCCTACAAAAATCTAATCCAATGAGAAAATAAATCTAAAGTCCAATTGCAAATGACAAAAGTGTAGCAAGGTAACTGGTAACAAGTCTGCTGGTTATTCAAAATTTAACATTAAAATATGTCCCGGCCCTTTGAATCATCCGCCGAATGATCAACTGAATGATTGCAACAAACAAAGGAACAAGCAAAATTTGTTAAATGGAGTGCATGATCAAAGAAGGTATATTAGCTCCCTACAAAAATCTAATCCAATGAGAAAATAAATCTAAAGTCCAATTGCAAATGACAAAAGTGTAGCAAGGTAACTGGTAACAAGTCTGCTGGTTATTGAGAATTTAACATTAAAATATGTCCCGGCCCTTTGAATCATCCGCCGAATGATCAACTGAATGATTGCAACAAACAAAGGAACAAGCAAAATTTGTTAAATGGAGTGCATGATCAAAGAAGGTATATTAGCTCTCTACAAAAATCAAATCCAATGAGAAAATATTGTTTTCCGATATTACAATCACAATCCACGGACATGACTAAAAATGACTGACACGTCCCGCGCGGCATCAGAAATATGGGAGGAAATCTGGCACCACGATTTGTGGTGCCAGTTTGTGGCCATGGATAGAGCCCTCTTTGCCGCCTCCGGCGGTCGCGCGCTACTGCAAGCGAGAGGGCTCTGGTTAGAGCAAAAGGGAGGCCTAGGCTTTCAGAAATTGCACTACAAAGGGGAACCCTCGAGTCCAAAATCGTATAGGGGTAGGTGCAGACTTCGAAAACCGAAAAAATATTTTCGGCTCATAATGATCAGGGTTGCATGAGCATGAAACATGAATTGACCAGTGATTAGTTGCTGATGTGATTCATAGATTGATACATTTCACATGAAAACTGTGTACATCTTAACTCTAAATTTTGAACATGATCTTTAAAATTCTCCGTTCGATTCGTGGATCACATTAGGGACGAGAACTTTTGCTAATCGGGATGGATCTCGTATCAAGGGACGTGAGACTTGCGTGTCGGAGGCATTGAGGACATTAGTATCTCATTATATCAACATGCCTGCCTATCCTGCTTAGGTCGATCCAGATGAACTCTGGAACGAGTTTCGCGGCAGTGCTTTCCTCCATTTATCTCTAGCACTTATGAGCAAACGTAACTTATCAGGATCCAATCCAGTATCTTGTTGTAGGATGTCCGGAAAGGTCTCATGAGGTCGTTCTCGATACTAATGGCCATTATACGATGGTTTCCAGAAAAGGAGTTGCTGAGCAGATTGGACATTGGTCCTGTGTTAACAGGTAAAGATTTCGTTCAAAACGAAGTCTACGTCTTTTTACGGTATCTGTCACCGGTGGAATATTTCCGTAAAGAACGGATTTAGGTGTGTGTGATTTCCACCATATGCCAAAGACCCTTTGTAGCATTCTTGTATAGACACTGTCTAGTGCTCTAGTGTCAGCCTTCTTAAGAGTTCACGTTTCTGTGCCATACAGGAGAACAGGTGCTACGCAGCTGCAGTGGCGCACTGTTGCCTATTGGCGCCCCCCTGAAAAAGTGCCCCCTCTGTTGGCGCCCCCTCCCTTTTTGGCGCACCTCCTTAAAACTGGACAAATTATATGATTTTAGAGGATACGCCAGTAAAATCTCTAAAAAATCGTGTTTCTAGAGCAAAACGAGCAGTTTTAGTACTGTAGTTAAGTTTTTCCAAATTGTCCCACATTCAAGTGACGATTTGGCGCCCCCCTAAGATGGCAGCCCCCCACACAGTAGGATCGGTAGGGCCCTTCAATACGCCACTGCTGGCGCGGTTCTAAAAATCTTGGTCTTGATCTTCCTAGATTGCGTCTCTGTTAGATGAAACTATGTAAGATCCTAACTATCGAACATGCCTACCTTCTCTAAATTCATCTCTGATGGAACAGTTGCTTGAATTTGGAAAGGTCTTAACATCTTGGCACACCTGTGCATTTTAAGTTGTTGTGCCACTATAATCTATAAGTTTAAATTATTATTATTATTATAAAGGGTCTCAATAAGAGGTCTCGACTGCCTAGGCGTCAGACCTTGGCAGTCGGTAGTTTTCCTCTGGCCCGGGATCAGCTGACCCTAGGGACCAGAGGATAAAGGTGTAGAAACTATATGTATCTACAAAACTTTCAAGGTTGTTTTTACAAGAGACAGGGCTTGCTGCGCAAGGGAAGAAAAGCGGGAGAAACACTCACAAATTATACAAATAAATATTATAAAACATAGCAAAAAGAAATTCAAACAATCCTACACTACTACAAATGTTTATTACATACTACAATGTGATACATGATAATTATATGCTGTATAGACAAGAAACAGGGCTTGCAGGGCAAGAGATGGATCAAAGGGACTAGTCACAGAGTGTAATATACAGTGATTCAGCAAGAACCCATTGCTAAATCTGGCACACAAAATACCACAATCAATACAAAAATATACAATATTATATCAAACAATATGTTTATACAAGAATCAGGGCTTGCAGAGCAAGAGAAGAAAAATAAGAGAAAACTACCATCAACTGTATATACCGTAGTCCATCAGATAGGTAATCATTACTAATACACAAATCAGCAGGGCTAACAACAATATAAAATCCATAATAAATACTCAATCTACCCAATATACGAGTTAAAAATTGTATAAACAAGAGACAGGGCTTGCATAGCAAGGGAAGAAAAATAAGAGGACCAGGTAAAAAGTGTTTATTAGAGTACCCAGTGAAAATTAAACTAAAAAAAAGAGTATTTACAGTGTATTATACACTCAAATATATTATATGT